ACCCTTTTTATGAAACATTGAATGTGTAGACTTGGTCTTTGTTGCAAGTGTGGAGTGTTTCTGAGCCTTGAGGCAGAAACATTTACTTTTTCTGAGAAGCTACTTAGAAGACTTAAGGTGAATTTGGAGAGAAAAATCCTTAAAGAAGCAGATCCTGAAAGACCTGCAGAGAGAAACGAGTGACAGGTCCTTTTTAGATCGTTGGACACTGTGACCTTCGAGCGGAGGTGGAAAATCAGAAGAATGAGTCTAAAAGAATTTTCCAGTGTGTTGGGAGAGCTCACCTGTATGACTCTTATTCTCCTAGCCCTAAAAGAAAAGGGGAATGAAGCGTTTGTCAGAGGCGATTATGAAACGGCCATCCTGTGCTACAGCGAGGGTTTGGAGAAGCTGAAGGACATGAAAGTGCTGTACACCAACCGAGCCCAGGTCAGTGGGTCAACAGCGTGATCGCGGGTTTCCTCAGGGAGCAGTATCCACTAAACCTGTGAAATCAGGAAGATGAGACTAGATACCAGTGGTGTGCTGGTAAATGTTTAACAATTGGCTCTGGTTGGGATGTTGGGGGAAGCTGATTTGTATGGAGCATTTGCCAATTTCCATGGTGTAAATACTCTTACCATGGTCCAATTTCAAGCTAATTGAAGGACTTGGGAAGAGCTACACTTAAGCAGTTCTCCCCATGGTATAAGTCAGCTCCAGCACATCACTGATGGTTACCAGGCACTCTGCCACATGTATAAAACTACTAGAAAACTAGTGGAATGAAATGACCTTGGAACTCTGCCACCACTGGATTTGTCCAGCCTCCTTTTGAATGGTAGTCTAAACTCCTGAGGGTTGCTCTCCTGTTAATTTGTCACTCAGTGTATCAATCTCTCTTTGATTAAGATTCTGTGACGGGGGTAGCTGGATAGCTGATGGGCCTAGAGCCAATTTCTCAGGAATTTTGAGTTTCTGCAATCCCTAATACCTGAGTTTTGTATCACAGATGAGCTCAGCTCCCTGGAATGCCAGGTAAAAACTATCTCCCAAATGTTTATTACCTACTACTTAATGAAGGAACTAGGTTGCTAGTTCTCAGTTGAAACAAAAATGTCACCTGTGACCTTATCTTTGAAAAGTACTTGAGTCTGTGTGTGGTAGAACTCTGTTGCCCAGGCTTGAGAAACCAATAGACCCATGGCACGATTATCCAATTGTCAGGATATGTCAGCAGGACCTGTGTGAGATGAACTTGATGCCGTGTCATTTGCAAGAGGAGGAGCCCTCATCAGCTCCAATATCTATAACTCAGTGTCCTGCTGTGGGAAAAGCTAGGAACAGGATGTTAAAAAGGCCAAAAAGTCTGGGAAGTGACAGTGATTTCATGATAACAAAATCCAAGCACAGTGTAACCTGATTAGTTCAGCAGTTTGGATAAATCAGACTAGAGTGGAAATGTCATTTACCTAGACCCATTTGTGGAGAAAAATTATCATAAAGAAGCAAATTGGTAAAGAAAATGGCTTGAAGTTGAATTAGCAGTGCACATTTTATCATCCTAACAAGATCATAAAGGTTTTGTTTGTTTGTTTGTTTGTTTGTTTGTTTAAGATTTTATTGGGGAATCAGGGAAGGGGAACAGACAAGTTTCTGTCCTTTTGTTCTTCAGTCTAGTTGTGGAGGACGTCGCTTCACTGGCCCATGTTGGTATTATCATTGCGCTCTTCCCAGGTGAGGAAGTCACTCACCAGCCATTGTATGGCCGCTCACAGTGGCTCTTGGCAGCTCACACCAGCTGCCAGCCACTCACAGTAGCTCAAGGCAGCCCACTGCAGCCTACGCCGTCGCTGGTGACTCACAGCAGCCTAGCTCCAGGTCGAGCTGTTGTTCACCATCTTAGCTGTAGAGGGTGCAGCGTCACTGGCCCTCATGTGGGATCCGAACCAGGGCCCTGCTGTTCAGAGCAGGTGTCCCAAGCCAACTCCTAACCAACACACCCCTCGGCCAGCCTGGTCATAAAGGTTTTGAGGGCAAAACCTGCCATATACTTTTTCCCTAATGCTTTATTTATAACACATGTTCAATAAATCCTTGTTAAGTTACATAACACTAGAGGCACAGTAAGTCAATTTAAAGGCATAAAGTTTCTGTTGACACTTCAAAAGAAACATTAAAATGAAAACTATAATAATTATAGTTCCTTTTTATTTATCACAAAATTTAGTCTCTGAAACATATACCTACTGATGCTTGTTTGGTCTTGTTACTCTGAACTTATTTGAAAGCAGTAAAATTGAATTGCCTTTAAAATGTTATATAAGTCAAACTTATATCTAATTCAGATGGCCTATTCCCTATTTCATCTAAATTAGTTATATTTTTATTGTACTCAAGTTTAAACAGCACTTTGATTAGTTCTGGAAAATCACATTAAGAATGACTGTAGATAAAAATAAGTAAATGCGATGGAAGCTTTGGGGAAGCAATTCCTCCCACCTTCCCCAAAGAGGAAGCTTATTCTGAGACAAATAAATGCAAAATGTGCTGCCTGGTGTTGGGAATCATTTAAACCATCGACTGTTTTTAAAATGCCTCCCCTGTTTGTATACAGTGTTAGAAAACACTTAATAAGGACCCTGTGAATTGAGTGTTTCTGCTTGCTAGAGAGAAAACCTACCCTTTCATTGCTTTGTTTTTCTCCTGGAGCTAATGTTATGATCAATAGATTGCTGGTGTAATTTAGATAAGTCATTTGGAAAAAGTAGTTCTTAAAATGTGGGAAAGCAAAAGAGAATGGGGAAGTTATAGGGTGTCAAATCCAACCTTTAAAAACAACAAAAGAGGGGAAAAAAAGAAAAAGTAAAAGGCTCTAGAGAAATTGTTGACGCCCATATAGACTTTCTCCAAACCTGTATGTATAGAATAGTATTGTCATGTAATCATGGCTATAATTGTCTAGAAGGATGTTCACACCCTCAGACTTTCAAATACAACCCCAAACCCTGGAGGAAAGGATGGTGCTTTATATTGGGTTGTTGGAAAAGTCATGACACATGTTTGCAACAGATGGCACTAGTTCATTTTTGGAAGTACTAGAGTCATTCGCATCTATGTTATTGCTATGTCATTTGACAGCTGANAGGGGGATGGGCAGTCTTGAAGGACTGAGCCCCTAACCTGTGGGATCTGCTGCTAGATAGTGTCAGAATTAAGCTGAATTGTAGTATATCCAGCTGGCGTCAGAGAATTGCTTGGCTGTGTGGGGAAAAACAACCACACACACTGGAATCGGTTTCAGAATCATACTAGGAACATAGTAGGATTGTTGAGCATCACTGACAGTCAACTTGAGTTAGGACCAATTCCATCAGGTGTGTCTGCCTTTATCAGTACTCAGCATCCTTAATAAAGGCCTAGAGAAGTGGAGAGTTGGATTCATTTAGAGCTGGAGTTTTGTCTGGCAGGTGGGGTTGGAGGGTAAGGGAGTTCAGGATGCGGGCAGGATGGTGGCCAAGGGATGGACCATGGCATCTAAGCCAGGTGGGCAGTAAAGTGAAGACAGATGAGGATAAGGTTAAGGGCTTGTTTTGTGATCTCAGAGCTGCCTTAATTTACCTGTTTGTCTCCCACACAAGACTGTAAGCTCTTCAAAAATAAGGATTTTTTTAAAAATTCATCATTGTTATCTATATCATTCTGCATAATATCTAACTCATAATAAGCTCTCCATAAATTGTCAGTGAATTCAATAAGTGGCTTAAAATTGTTTTCCTTGAAGGCCTTGGTTAAAATCTCCTGCAGTTTTTCCCAGAGAAAACAAATCCTGTTCTTAATTTTTTTTCTCATTTGTTCTAATTGCTCTAACTTTTGCTTCCGATTCAGAACCTTCTTGAAAAAATGGGGAGGTGTTGGTTAAAGGGTATAATCTTTCAGTTATAAGATGAATAAATTCTGGGCACCTAACATATAGCATGGCTACTATAGTTAACAATACTGTATTATATACTTGAAAGTTGCTGAAAGAGTAGATCTCAAATGTTCTCGCCATAAAAATAAAAAAACGTGTCATTATATGAGGAGATGGATGTATTAACTAGCCATATTGTGGGAATCATTTCACAATATGTATCAAATCATTACATTGTACACCTTAAACTTACAAAATGTTACATATCAATTATACCTCAATAAAGCTGGAAAAATAAAAGTTCTTCCTTCCCTGTGAATGTTCTACACTATCCTTTCTAGTGAGCAATCTTTTCTTTTAAAGACCTTGTTTGAATGACTCACATCTGATTTCTTCTCTAGCCAGTTTAATCCAGGACATGAATTCTGAGGACCCAGTTGTGCAAGAGAAAGCTGTCCTCAAGACAGAAAAGAGACTCCTGTTTACAGAGGACAACCAAGAGGAGGACAGATGCAGGACCACCCTTAACAAGACCATGATCAGTCCTCCACAAGCTCCGACGAAGGTTTCCTTTTTCTATTATGGAGTTATATAAGTAGATACAGTGAGGTCTGCATTGAGTCAGAGGAAGTAGTAGCTTAATCTCAAACTGTCTGGTGAAGCTGAAATAGTCTTGTTTTTTAGATTCCCTGGATTTATTTTCCACAAGGAAGTACAAACTCTGATTTTTTTCTTACTCCTCCTGGGTCATCTTTAAACAACACTTTGGGTTTGTTTTAGTGAAAATTTGACCCCTCCACCCCCTGAGCTTGTGACCATCCTGTTTTTCAGATTTACTGGATTTATTTTCCACAAGAAAGTATAAACTCTGATTTTTTTTTTCTTGATCTTCCTGGGTCATCTTTAAACAACTCTTTGGGTTTGTTTCAGTGAAAATTTGGCCTCTCCACCCCCTGAGCTTGTGCCTATATTTAAGCTGTACCGTTAGGGTAATATATTCTATTGTAACTTATATTTCCAGCTCATATGGCCGCAGCTGGGGTCCCTTGGTCTGGTCACCCTTGTTTCTACAGACTTGGCCCCCATGACAATGTGCCCATAATCAGATCTCCTGATTTAAAGCAAGTCCCCTGAATTTGGGGCCCTTCAGTATTGATGGTTAAAGGAAATGACCCTACTTCCCACATGTAATTAATGTCTTCTTGGTTTATGTACTTACAAATTTGAGTGGTTTTTGAAATTTGTTTCTTTGTTTTTCTGATAACCTGTGCCCTGCAGGATGCAGATGAAATAAACTCAGGTAAGGACAGCATCTCTGTTCCCAATGTGTGTTATTTATTTAGGATCAGTGTTTACTGACTGTAGCTTCCAGACCCTTCAATTATAGCCCATGAACAAAACAACCCATGAACAAAAACCTACTGATCCCCCAGTTCTGTTACTAGTGATCGAAGGGAACAGCTCTCAGAGGTTTTGCTCTATTTTCTCCTGGTCAATCTTTTGTAAACTGAATTCAGTTATTCTGTATATCTTCCAGCTTAGTCTTAGTTGCTTATGGAATCCAGATGGTTTCCCTGCTGCTCAGCTCAGAAGCTCATTATGCTAAATGGAATAAAAAAGCCTGTCTTCAAGCAAAAACTCTTTTTAAAGGCATAATTCAAATTTGAAGTACAGGCATAGACTCATGTATAATAATACATCACACAGATTACCTTGTCAGGTTAAGAAGATGTCATTTTAGTTGCTTCAGTGTGTGTGTGTGTGTGTGTGTGTGCGCGCGCGTGTGTGTGCGTGTGTGTGAGTGTGTGTGTGTGCACGCGCGCGTGTGCACATCTGTGGATGTGAGCATGTGCCTACATGTGTATATGTGAGAAATGTGGCTCTAAAAGCTTTAAAGTAGCTTTCTTCTGAATTTGAGCTAAAGAACTGATTATAGTATTTGGATTTTTCTTTTTTCTTTTTAATATTTGAAATTACTCTGCTGCCAGAGGCCTTCTTGGCGTTTGTGGAGAAGGATGCAAAGGAACGTGCCAAGAGAAGAAGGGAAAACAGAGTCTTAGCAGATGGTAATTGTCGGTCCTCACTTTTTAATAGCTGGGATGCTTTGTGCTAGACCAAGCACACGAGTCTACCTGCTGATGTCTGAGGGCATCCAGCTTCCTAGTCTGTGGGTTCATGGTGGGCCTGAGGCAGTGGGACGTGAGCAACCAGAAACACTGGTGGGCTGCCCTCTGTCACTGTTATAACGAGCAGGGAGTAGGACAGAGCCTTCAGTCAGCCTCCACAGTCAAACTTCTTTCTAAAGCCAGTGGGTGGACGGCCGGTGAAATTGACCAGCACTAAACAATACTTGGAACGTAGGGATTTCGATGAGAGTGAGCTACCACTGGCTAGCCTGGAAGTGAAAAAGTGGAGAAGTGAAAAAGAACAATAAAGCAGCAAAACAAAGATGTGAGAAGGGAGAGGTAAATGAAAAGAAAGAGATGAGGCTGTATGTGTGGCAGGGAACATACATGACAGAAGAATGCTTTCAGTATTGATTTTATACCATGAGGGGTATGTGAACTGCAGACCTGAATGACGACATAGTTGTTAGAAACTGGGTTTTTCTACCCTTTTTATGAAACATTGAATGTGTAGACTTGGTCTTTGTTGCAAGTGTGGAGTGTTTCTGAGCCTTGAGGCAGAAACATTTACTTTTTCTGAGAAGCTACTTAGAAGACTTAAGGTGAATTTGGAGAGAAAAATCCTTAAAGAAGCAGATCCTGAAAGACCTGCAGAGAGAAACGAGTGACAGGTCCTTTTTAGATCGTTGGACACTGTGACCTTCGAGCGGAGGTGGAAAATCAGAAGAATGAGTCTAAAAGAATTTTCCAGTGTGTTGGGAGAGCTCACCTGTATGACTCTTATTCTCCTAGCCCTAAAAGAAAAGGGGAATGAAGCGTTTGTCAGAGGCGATTATGAAACGGCCATCCTGTGCTACAGCGAGGGTTTGGAGAAGCTGAAGGACATGAAAGTGCTGTACACCAACCGAGCCCAGGTCAGTGGGTCAACAGCGTGATCGCGGGTTTCCTCAGGGAGCAGTATCCACTAAACCTGTGAAATCAGGAAGATGAGACTAGATACCAGTGGTGTGCTGGTAAATGTTTAACAATTGGCTCTGGTTGGGATGTTAGGGGAAGCTGATTTGTATGGAGCATTTGCCAATTTCCATGGTGTAAATACTCTTACCATGGTCCAATTTCAAGCTAATTGAAGGACTTGGGAAGAGCTACACTTAAGCAGTTCTCCCCATGGTATAAGTCAGCTCCAGCACATCACTGATGGTTACCAGGCACTCTGCCACATGTATAAAACTACTAGAAAACTAGTGGAATGAAATGACCTTGGAACTCTGCCACCACTGGATTTGTCCAGCCTCCTTTTGAATGGTAGTCTAAACTCCTGAGGGTTGCTCTCCTGTTAATTTGTCACTCAGTGTATCAATCTCTCTTTGATTAAGATTCTGTGACGGGGGTAGCTGGATAGCTGATGGGCCTAGAGCCAATTTCTCAGGAATTTTGAGTTTCTGCAATCCCTAATACCTGAGTTTTGTATCACAGATGAGCTCAGCTCCCTGGAATGCCAGGTAAAAACTATCTCCCAAATGTTTATTACCTACTACTTAATGAAGGAACTAGGTTGCTAGTTCTCAGTTGAAACAAAAATGTCACCTGTGACCTTATCTTTGAAAAGTACTTGAGTCTGTGTGTGGTAGAACTCTGTTGCCCAGGCTTGAGAAACCAATAGACCCATGGCACGATTATCCGATTGTCAGGATATGTCAGCAGGACCTGTGTGAGATGAACTTGATGCCGTGTCATTTGCAAGAGGAGGAGCCCTCATCAGCTCCAATATCTATAACTCAGTGTCCTGCTGTGGGAAAAGCTAGGAACAGGATGTTAAAAAGGCCAAAAAGTCTGGGAAGTGACAGTGATTTCATGATAACAAAATCCAAGCACAGTGTAACCTGATTAGTTCAGCAGTTTGGATAAATCAGACTAGAGTGGAAATGTCATTTACCTAGACCCATTTGTGGAGAAAAATTATCATAAAGAAGCAAATTGGTAAAGAAAATGGCTTGAAGTTGAATTAGCAGTGCACATTTTATCATCCTAACAAGATCATAAAGGTTTTGTTTGTTTGTTTGTTTGTTTGTTTGTTTAAGATTTTATTGGGGAATCAGGGAAGGGGAACAGACAAGTTTCTGTCCTTTTGTTCTTCAGTCTAGTTGTGGAGGACG